CTGGTGAGCACCAGGAGATGCAGAAGTGTTGCAACTAAGAACATGAGGAGTAGGGAGTTCAGTGCCCTAGAACCACAGGAAGGACAGATTGGACCACGGGCTTTAAGGGCGGGCTGCCTGCCACCACGCACTCCTCACGCAGGGAGCGGGGCCTCTGTCCAGGAGCAAACGAGGACAGCTGGGGTCTTCCGCCAGGAGCAATGACAATTCCAATTTTGACAGCTTCAGTTCGTTAATTTAGCATCATTTTTTCATTTACTTAAAAGCTAAGAGTCCAAAAAACACACTACAGAGGGGGACTTGAGGGACGCTCTAGCCTCGGTCCCCTGCGTTCTGCTCCGGGACCACACTAAGAGCCTTTGTCCTCCCTGATGGAGGCGCCCCAAGCAATAAACAATTTACGCAATTTCTCTTCTCCCACTGGGGTGTAGTTGCCAAAGCTCAGTGCCAGGTGTCAACCCCACAGTCAGCTTATCAGACAGTGCCTGGAAAAAGGCACTCACCCAAGGGGAGCGAGGCCGGGGGCAGACTCCTCCAGGCCCTCAGGCTGCCCCCCATCGTGTCCAGGGCCGAGTCACAGAGGTTTAGGCCAAGGGCCAGTGGACAGCGCCATTCTGGCCTCCACCCAGAAGGCCAGGACTGGTGAGGAGGCCGGGCCATCTCCACCCAAACAAAGGATGCGTGACCCGCTGATCCCAGCTCTTGTCCTGGAGAAATTTCTGGGAAGTTAGGGAGATAAGAAGGAAGGCACAGCTGCCCTCAGAAAACTCAGAGGCAGCATTCCCAACTCCACAGAGCCTTGCCCCAAAATACCCAATGTCAAGCTCACATCAGACCTTATCTGATGCCCCCCGGAATGCAGAACCAGACACCCAACAGGGGACCAAGTCATGACTCAAAATTGAAAAAGGGTGTAGAAGTTAGGGGCAACTGGCCCTCTGAGTGCTTTTCTCCCTCATGTTTTCATTTTCTGCAGCAAAGCACTAGACATGGGGGGAGGGGCAGTGGCACCTCTTTGAGTCTTGGTGTGGCCACAGCTGCAGGCACAGAGCACACAGTGCACGGGCACTCGCCCCTCTCGGATTCAAGACCCAGATGGAGACCCCAGCCCTGGAGCAAATCACTCACCCCCTCCTACCCCCTCTGACCCTGAACTTCCTCCGCCAACAGATGGGGTGAGAGGTGGAGGCCGACTGGATGGATCTGGAGCTCCCAAACTCTGCCACCTGCTTCTCCAAGTGGCAACTGAACCCATCCTGGGATGGCCTGGACGAAAGCACCGACCAAAGTGGGAAGCTGGACACGTGGGCATCAGCCACTGAGCTCAGTAGTCCCAACGTGGCACTCAGTTTAATAAAACTTCAGACCAAGTCTAACACTATTAAAGATGCCAGAAGAACGCAGGTGGGGGGCCAGGAACCCAGATGTGGCAGCCGGCCACCCAGGTGCCCATCTGGTGTTTTTCCCAGTTGGGTGTGACCCCCAACTGATGCCTCGAAACCATCACAGCAGGTTGAATGGTGGCCCCCAAAAAAGATAAGTGCAGGTGCCAGCCCCTGGGGCCTGTGAGTGTGACCCCATGTGGAAACACGGTCCTTGTAATGAAGGACCTGGAGATGGGGTCATCCTGGATCTGGGGTGAGACCTTGATCTTCTGAGACAGTTATCTCAGAAGAGACAGAGAGGGGGACATGAGGTGCAGTGGAGGAAGATGGAGGCAGAGGCAGCTGACTGCCAGCTTAAGCCAGGAGCGAGGCGTGACACAGGTTCACCCCCAGAACCTCCGGAAGGAGCCACGTGCTAACAACAAGACCCGGGCCCAGGCCTCCAGAGCTGTGTGAAGCTGCCCCATTTGTGGGGATGTGTAGAGCAGATACCCATCCTAGGAATGAGGAAAGTGTCATCATTCTATTTTACTGGGAGGAGAGAGAGAGCCTCATCCCAATTCCCAGCCACTCCCTCCACCATCCCAGGCCACCTTCAGGGACGGTCACTGACACAGGTGAGTGACACGAGACGCGAAATGACTTAGCCCAGGTGGCAGCTCCCTGGTGGCCAGGACCCAGTCAGGACCCAGTGCTGATTCAGCCTCACTCACGGATGAATTACGGCCAAGACGCCTCCCAGAGCAGCTACTTTTGGGGAGTCCACTTTTTATCACTGCAATTACCAAAATATGGAGCTTCACGCTAATTCCCCCTTGCCAGTAAGAGGCTGAAAAGTAATGGTGTCAATTTTAATGAGGATCAATCAAGGCTCCTAAAAGGCTCCCATAAACTAAAGCATTTCCCTCGCACACAACAAAGGCTTGCTGTTTAATTCCAGAACCCAAGAATGTCACTGGAATTACACGGCTTTCACATTAAAGGCTTATGGGGATGCCTTTCCAGGGAAGAATTTCAATAAAAAGATCTCACCCATTTTGACGCTTCATAGTATCTGAGCCACAAACCTATGTATCATGGCAACAAAAATAACAGTCTCGGAGAATGGGAAGGAAAACAGGACTTCACTTGCGCTGGGAAAAGATATCGATTTTCTGTGAAACAGAGATGGAGCTGAGACTCTGTTCTCACATAGGGACCCATTCCATCCGCATCCTCGGGCCACCAGAAATTCGTAACTAAAGCCCGAATCTCTTTGTTCCCATCTGCAGGATGCTCAGAGTGAATGCCAGCCCCATCAGTCTGCGAGAGACTCTTTAGCTGACTTGATTCTTATTTTATTAGCGCTTCTCAGGGCAATGATGAGGGCTTTGAGCAGAGATGAGAGTATTCCACACCTCCATCTTTCCTGAAAATGCCTTCGACTTCACTGACTTTTGGCTTGTATTTATAAAGAAGGTTCAAGGCTTGGAAAATTATTGGGGTTGAGCTTTAATGGATATTCCCAACCAGCATTGTGTCATTATTGGCCCACATTTAGCTGGGCGATCTCCCAAATTTGTGACATAATCAGGCCTTTCTCTGCATTACTCCATACACTCCACGCTCCCCCTACATTACACCACTGAATCATACGCTCTTTTCAACAAGACCGATTGCCAGGGGATTAACATTAGACAGCACAATTCCATTATTCAGCAGCCCCATTCAAATCCAGCCCTAAACTCTAAGAGAGATTTCAGGGCTTCACAGAGAAGAGCTGCCAGAAAACTCAAAAGGGAGGTGGGGTGAGGGGCCCGAATGTTTTACATAACAACTCAACCTAAAACCGGTTACAAGTGAGAGCCCATGGCTGCAGGGGCCGAGATATGACTCCTGGTTTCTGGAATGGCCCCAACCTCTCCTAATGAATGATTTGCAAGCCTATGCAAAGCCATAATCCCAAAAGACCACTAGAGCCAATTATTTTTTCCCCACAATAAATAACTTAATTTCAAAATTAGGTATTTATAACTTTCAGCCCCAAATCTAACTTTCTTTTCTTAAATAGCAACACTTTCATGTCAATGTCAGCATACGTGTGCCCCAAAATGAAATCCAAGTCACGTGCTCTTTGATCAATGGGTTTATAGCACAGCAAGGCCAAAATAAAGGCTAGCCATTTCCTTCCCTTATTCAAGGACGCCTTCTCTTTCTGCTTGTCTTGTAAATCATCTGTACGCAGTCATTCCCACTAAGAAACGCTCTACAGGTACCTCTGTGAGCAAAGAGGGCTCTAAAACTCGGTCCTTTGTGAATTTCATCTTATCCACAGTATAGAAAAAGCCTGTCAGATTGCACAGGGACTTCTGAAAAACCTAACCAAAATGTTACAAATACTTTTTTCAAACTTTTTTGCAAAATACTTGCATTCAAACAGCAATATAGACTATTATGCTTCCCAAGGCAGAGTTTCTGATGGATCCAGTTTAACAAGATGGTTTTCTAAACATCTTGGTTTTCTATCCTAAAATTTTAATGAACCGCATCTACCTAATTTGGTTAATCAGGCTTTTGGAGTTTTTTAATGGCTCTTTGGACAATTCGAATATCTATTGGGTCTCCCTTTTCAGAGTTTCTAATTCATTGAAGAAGAAATGTCCACGTGTGGAATAATACCAGGGACACTAGCAAAGCCAGGGGCAGAGGGGGTCCTGGTGGGCGTGTGTGGCATTAGGGAGGGTCCTACATTAAGGCAAAATGAACCCAGGGGAGCTCGAGCTGAGCCCCCCACAGGACTCAGCAGCCTGTACGTGGCAGTGGGCAAACCAGGTAACCCCCAGCAAGGACTCAGAACAGGGGACAACACTGAGTTGGTACAGATGGCAAAGGGAGAGCTGAGGCCAGCACCACTTTCATCAGTAAGAAGGCACGTCCTGAATGGGGTTCCACGCGTCACCCCTCCTCCATCCAGCACAACAGAATCCATCCTGACAGAACCAACTTGAGTTTCCAGGACATAAGACTATGCAGTCTTAAGACATTTGATTAAAATACTACTTATCTGAGCACTCTGATTAAAAGGTAATCCTAAGCTTTTACGCAGTTCCCTTCTCAAGGAGGAAACAGCTTCCAGAAACAGACACAGCACTGAAGACATATGATGGAAGTGGAGGGCTGGCCTCTTGCGTTCACCTTCCCCCAGCCAGGTATAAACACCCACGCCTTTATTCTGCAGTCAGACACACCCAGTTGCCGCCTTTAGACAACGTCAACCTGTCTTTTAAAAACGAAGTTCTCCGAGATCCTCCCTACACCTATTCTGGCACATGCTGGCAGTTTTTAGTGATTTCAGTTTCTAGAATGTCAGCATTGGTCACACCACCACACCACCTCCACTTCACACCAGAGGACACTTGAGAATCCAGAAGGTGACCCCAAACACAGACATCCTGGCTGATGGGGAAATAGCACAGCCAAATGCCAGAGACCCTCTCAAAAGACAGCCTCTATCAGAAAAACAAGAGACACCAACTCTCACTAAACCCCGGGGGAGACAAGACCCGCTTTCAGGATTTCGAATGAGTCAAGTTAAAACAGGGGGCGCAGAGCTACTAAGTGGGAGAAGAGACTCACCCACAACATCGAGGTTGTAGGTGTGGTTGATGGAGCCGTATTCATTCTCGACCACACAGGTGTAATTTCCTTTGTCGGATGGGACCACACTCTCCATGATGAGGCTCCAGTGCTGGTTTCGGACCTGGAAAGATCAAAGGGAAGGGGGTCATGTAACCATTTCAGTCTGAAACACCAAGTATTCAGCATGGAACCCCAGGCACTCGGCATGGGATCAGGCACTCTGCATGGGCTACTAAGTACTTGGCTTTCTTGATTTAAAAATTGAGGGAGACAAGGCAGGTAGCACAAAATCACCTGCACTCTAATTGTCCCTCCTAGTAAGTGCTGACATCATCGTGGTGAGTGCCTGGGCTAGTCAGATGCGCAAGAGCGCAAGGTGGGCTGTCATCGGCCAGGGTGTGAGGATTCCTCCAGGAGTGGCCAAGTGGCCTACAGAGCCTCGGAGCTCCAGGACAGGTCAGCTCAGGGGGTTCTTCCACCAGAAACACTCAAAACCAAGGAATCTTCTAGAGCCAACACTAGTGGGTGCTCACTGTGCCGGACACAGTTCTGGACACTGCGTAGCACCTCAGCTAATTCTCCCAAGGAGCCCACACAGTAGGTGCTGCTATTGTTCCAAGAACCGTCTGTTTGAAAGACTCGTTTCTTGTTCCCACAGCCCTCAGCTGCTGTCTGGAAGTCTCCAGAAATTCCTTCTGAGAACCCAGATATGTCCTTCTCACCTTTGGTAGTAGCTGAATAGATGTGCATATTCCTGACAGACTCAGCATTCCAAATATGGGAGCAATGAATCTTTAGGAAACTGAAGTTGTGTATCCCTGGCTCACAAGCCCCTAGAGATTTTTTAAAGCTAAGGGGCCAGGGGAAATGAGTTATCATCGTTCCTACCCCGGCTCTGTCCACATGTATGCAGATCCCATTCTAACATCCCCACCTTGCTCTGAAGAGTTTAACTCAAATAGAAGATTTGAATCGACTCAAATTTTTAAGCAAGCATGATAGTTTCTTACGGGGATAAAAATGCAGGGTTCATCTTTAGAGCTCAAGACTTTCATAATAATCCAAATCACGATCTTTAAAGGTATTTGGACAAAGCACCCTGACGAAATGGGAAGAAAAAATAAAAACCCAGGACCTGCTAATCTTCACTATCATTCAAGGTTGACCTTCTGAACGATCCCGAGCCCTGCAAGTGTTTTCTGCCTGAATCACATAAGAAGCACTGATGCCCACGGTCACCGCAAGCACACGCGCCATGCAAGGAACTCAACTGGACAGTCCAGATAATGAGCGCGTGGACGCTCCGTTATCAAAGCAGGAGGGCAGCGCGGCTGTCCCCTTGGCAGGGCAGAGCCCAGAGGGGAGAGATTAGGGGCGCGTGCTACGCAGCCTCTGCTGCAGCGGGCGCTGGGGCTGAGCTCAGACAATGTTCCCGCGCAGCATCCCTGGGGAAGCCTCTGGAGTGAAGGCCACCCCTCCTTAGCTGAGCCCAGCGCTGAACTGAGACTCTTTCGGTCGCTGTCCTGCAGCTGCTGCCTGCCACGGCTCCCCAACCCCTCACAGAGGTGATTTTGGAGTCTAACAGCGAGGAGTGGACCCGAGCGCTGTCCTCACTGGCGCAGGTGAGAAGGCCGTGTAAGGTGAGTGCGATCATCGGACTGCAGCAGGCGAGGCTGCACACTGGACTCGCTTTCTGCCTTTGACCGGCCAGTGACTGACAGGAGCATGAAAACAAGAACGGAGAGGCTGTGGGTCCTTGATAAGCGCCTTCCAACCAGAATGTAGAGGACGGGGTTTTCTGAAGAAGATGTGGATGCTACATTTTCCAAATGTAGGAGAACTCTCTATCTAAATCCCAGCCCCACAGGTGCTACCCTGGAGCTGTGTGTCCAGCCTGCTAGCTCTGGGATTGAGCCCCAGGCTCTCAGGGGTATCTGCGGTGGCCTCTCTTGCCCCTGAAGAACCAGTCACGTGGAGGGTAACTCAGGGGTGAAGCCACAGGCGCTCACGTCACCAAGCCACATAATCCAGCAGTTAGCCCTGCTGTAAATATTCAGTTCTTTGAGCCCCCGCTCAAATGTCATGCCCGTAAGCCCTTAATCATGGCTAGTGCCTGCCTCTGGACCCCATCCAAACTGTCAATGTCTTTTTTGTGCCGCGATCCAGATTTGGCACATGGCAGGTTCCAAACGGAGCTGAACCTGAACCTAAACCACACCGGGAGACCATCGCCTGCCTCTGCACAAGACATTCAATCTTGGCACACCATGCACAGGCCGCCGCCATCTTTAACCCCTGGGCATCTGGCCACCTCTCCAGGGGGCTGAGACACTCCACGCAGCTCGCTCCTCCAGGCACATGCTCCCGAAATATTTACTTCCTGGAGATGCACTACAAATATTAATAAGTTAACTTTTACAACACATTTTCTGCAGGAGAAAAATATCTGTCAAACAGGATGTTGTACCCTTCCAGAGACTTTGGCCCTCAGTCACTATTGATTGCCCCATGCCGTGCTGTTAAGATTTATTTCCTTATACTGATTGCTCCGAGATTTGATTCCTTGACTTACCACCCATCCCAAATTATCTGAGCTGTGGCATTTTCCAAGTTTTCCAGTGAGCCTGTTTGGCACTCTGGTAGGAGTTATCCTACCCTTAATTATGGGTGTTAATGACAAGCCAAGAGACTACAAACAGTACCCTAGAAAGATGGGGAACAAAGGCACAAGGATGTGTGTGGGGGGCTGTGTGTGTGTGCGTGTGTGTGCTAAACACTCTGTTTTCACACCAAGATTCAGTGTAAACATAAAAAAACTGCTCTAACAACAAAAATGGAAGCTATCCTACTCCACGTGTTTTTCCAAACCCTCCGATTTTTAGCACTACAATTTTTCTGCCAATTAGGTCATATGCACATAAACTACCTTTACTCTCACAGGAGAGAGAATGTAAATACCCCAATAAACATATGAAAAGATGCTTAGCCTCGTTAAGCATCAGGGAAATGCAAATGAAAACAATAATGAGACACTGTTATTCACCAGCTAATTAACAAAAATTAGAAAGAGCATGTCATTGAGTATATCCTGAGCATGTGGGGAAAGAGCCCCAAGTTGAGAATGGGAACATAAATGGGGGGGACACCTATGTGTAAGATAATTTGGGTATACCAATGAAAACTGGCACACATTTTTTTGACCCAGTTAATTCCATGTCTAGAAATCTCATCTGTATAAAGCACAGTAGGAATTCTTCAAGGCACTCCAACATGGCTGTCTTTTAAAGCACTGTTTGCAATAGGAAAAAAACAAAAAAAGTGGAGTCACCAAGAAGAGTGATTCATGACGTGCACTTCATCCCACACTGGTCACCCCAAGAAAAGCACACAGCCACTGAAAAAGTGGGGTAAACTGATGGTCAGGCCTGGTTAAGATAGTAACCGGCTTATTCACAAACGAAAAAAATGTAGGCTGATACGTGTGTTCATAATTCCATTTTGTAAAACCTACACAGACACACACACACCCCTAAAGATGCATCTAGGCCCAATGCTAACAGCATGATTGTATAAACATTGCCAAAAGCAGAAAGAAATTACATGAAACTGTTGGCAATATGCTTCCTGTAATTAAATGGTGGGATTAGGGATGTTGTTTACTTTTTTTTTTTCTCATTTTCACTTTCAAATTTAAACAGAAACCTCACCCTCCGTCTGTCTGTCTGTCTGTCTGTCTGTCTCACACACACACACACACACACATAGAGTGCGGCCTTCACAGCGCCCTGCTGCACACCATGGCACCCAAACAGTGTGGATGGGAAATCCGCACCCATGTTTTGTGGCCAAAACATTGTGGAATTCACCACTACTTTTCATCAGCCAAGGAACAGAATTAGAGCATAGGGCTTCAAAACTGCATTCCCTAAAGATGTTAAAAATAGCACTGGAACACTGGAACAGAGCAGATGGAAGCAAAAGGCCCAGACTCTCCTTGGAACACCAACGTGGGTTCCGCACACTCCACACCACCCGCCAGCCCAGAGACAAAAGGCACCCAGACAGGTGGTTTCAGCATTCCTGACGCTCAGTCTTGTAAGGGGCAGGTCAAACCCCCATCTGCCTTCAGGTGACAACTGGAAACAGAGACTTAGTTTGACATCAAAACAGCTAGGTGAAAGGCCAAAGGTCAGAGACCCAGGCTGTCCCCTGGGTTTCCACATTGCAAAAACCTCCGGACGTTTCCAAATACCCTGGTGTTCGATAACAAGTGGAATCCACAGCCAGAAGCTGGAAGGAAACATCTACTCTGGCCCAGCTGATGAGAATTGTGGCCATGTGATGAGAAATTGCCAGGCTTCAGTCCACCGGCATCAGCTCAGAAGGACAGCTAGCCCTTTCAGCCCTGGATTCAGAGAGGTACCCCAGAAACGACAACCCAACACAGACCAGGTGTCAGTAGGAAGTGTGAACCCCCACCTTCAGCAGGCTCCCGGGGACTCAGACGCCCCCTGTGCAATGAGTGTGCATAAAGTGAGCTCACACGTGTCAAGGCTGCGCCATACTGTGGCTCACTGCCATGCAGACAGGGAGGCAAACACTGTTTAATGCTTCAGCCCCAAGTCTGCTCCTCAGAAAGTGTCCAGAGAGCAGGGCAGGATGAGCCTCTGGGTCAGTGAATCTCACCCACTCAGCGACACTCACTGGGCCTCTCGGAGGAGCAAGGCAGTGAATCACAAAATGCAGCAGCTGCTCCCTGCAGATGCTGACAAAGGTGCTCCAGGGGCCGGCACCCCAGGGCCCCGCTGCCTTTGAATTTCACTCTTTACTAATCTCGTGGTCTTCCTCAAAAAGCTGAACATCAAGAGGCCTCCCTGGTGGTGCAGGCGGTTGAGCGCCGCACTGTGAAGCTGTCCGCAGCCTCTGCAGCACTGGTTCAATCCCCACCGGCCTTGGGGCAACCCACATGGTGCAGCAAACTTCTCCTGCCTCGCCCGCTGTTCCCCTCAGCAGTGTATTTCATCAGTCTGCCTGTTCTGTTCACCGCTCTGTCTCTGGTGAATCCTCTCACCCTCCCACGCATCTGGCCTGTACTCTGGTTCTTGTATAAATAAAAAATAAATCTTTAAAAAAAAAGCTGAACTTTGAGTCACGATCCAGCCATTCCACTCCTCAGCAATGCACCCAAGAAACCGAAAGGCAACTCAGACAGATGCTTGGACACCCGTGTTCACAGCTACATCACTCACAATAGCCAAAAGACAGGAGTAGCCAGTGTCCATCAGCAGAGGGCGGGGGCTAAACAAGGGTGGCAGGCCACGTAACGGGCACTATCGTTCAGCCACAGTAAAGTAATGACGTCCCAAGGCCTCAGGGACGGACCTCGATCACTGTAAGCCAAACAAGCCAGACACACAGGACCCACTTAGATGAGATACTCAGAACAGGCAAATTCACAGACAGGACTTAGATGAGATGTTACGAAGGCCCGGGGAAGAACAGGACAGGGACAGTGTGATGGTGATACAGAGTTTCTGTTTAAGTAATGAAAAAGTTTTGAAAATAAATGACAAATTTTAAGTTCAAGATATGTTACCCTCGTGAAAAAAAATATCAGGCCAGTCATGGAAGTTGGAAGAGCAGCATCACACCGCAGCCTTGCTCTCTACAGACCTTGGGCCAGCCGGTGGCTACATGCTCTTGGGGCACCAGGACCTCCTCTGTGCTTCTTATTTCTCATTAGGGGCTCTGATAAAGTGTGGCACCATCTACATTTAAAGAAAGCAGTTCAACACAAGCCTGGACTTTGGAGCCAGGGCATCTGGGTTCCCCTGGCAGCACAGCCACCTAGGAGCATGTGATAGCCTCCTTGGCAAACGGGCAGAAGAACAGAGCCCACTTCTTTGGACTGCATGGGGGCTGAGTGAAGTGGGGTACAGGAGGCACCTGGCACTCAGACACAGGTGAGACCTCAATAAACGCTGGTCAATGCCAGCATATTAGCTTCCTCACCATGGGCTACTTGATCTGGGATTAAAGCTGAATATCTTGGCTGCGAAAAGGCTCAACAAAGTCCCAATATATTAATAAGCATATTAGTCGTGATTTCACCAAATAAACATGCTTCTGGGTTAAGCATTACGCTGACTCAAATGTCTTTGAAATGACATCTTAAGTAACATAGAAAATGTAAATCTAATTAACCTTTGCAGCAAAACCACCAGTTTAGTGGTGATTATAAGAAAATCATTTCTAAAGTTCTTTCCTTGAATCTGAAATATGCATGGAAACTAACACCCCATCCTCTAATGTTTCACTCTGCTGAGGGGCTCCTGGGATTCCCAACCTCCAGGACTGGGGAACTAGGGATGGTGGCCAACTCCTCAGCCACAGGCAAGGAGTTTATCCTGTGACCTCACTTGGGTCTTCTGCAGTTAGCAAGCAGCATGAAAGGTTTTGAAGAATCCTCTTCTCCTGGATGCCTAAATCTTTACGGAAAAGCTGGGGACTGAGGTGGTCTATTAATTATCTCAGTCACTCTGCTTTTCTGCATTAAACTGTAATAACTGTTCAGGACCCTATGAAATATATACCCATAAAAGTAACCTCTTTATTAAAAAAAAAAAGTATTAAACTATGCTGTCGTTTCAGATGGAAATGGCTGATGCTGCATCACAGTCTGTTCTCAGAGCTGGCGGGATGGAGCATCTGAGATCATCTATTTAATCTTCTCATTTCAGGATGGGTCACTGAAGCGGACTGCTGAAACAAGTTACCCACTGTCAAGACTGAAGTAAAAGGCCAGGAGGCTCTGTCACTACAACTAAATTATTACCATCCAACCAGCCTTCCCCGCATACTAAGAAAATAATTTGACTTAATCACTTAAGGATGGCTCAGCACAAGCTCTTTGATAAATAAGACTAAACTGCAGAATACCAATAGCTCTGTTGGCTATTTTAATTAAAATAAGCTTTCTGGCCCATTTTCATAACATTCTTTGATTTTGTTTTGGTTTTCTGTGTCCTCGTCCCCCTTCACGGGCCACATACACATAACACAGTGGATGAGGGTCAACCCATGAGGTGGAGAAATTGCTGGAGGGACATTGGGCCACAGAGCAGGGCCCCACTATAAGATTTGTGAGGGGAAAAAAAAAATCACAGAAATAACACACATTTGTTTGTGGAAATGTTCGTGTCTTGCTTTCTAGAAAAACACATCTTGGAAAACTTGACACATTGAGTCCCGGGAGAGGGGGCAGTGCCCACGTCTCGTCAGCGAGGGCAGGCCTCTCTCCTCTGGAGGAAGCGCAGAGGAACAGAAACCACCAACTCTACAATCCCACTCCCTCAGCCAAGTGTGCAGAGGCACCATTCTTCAAAAGAAGTTAGGTAAGGAAGAAATATCAGAGGGAAATATCAGAGGGAAAACCCAACATGGATCCTTGGGCCTGCTTCCAGCTCACTTCCGGCTCGCTTCCGGCTCACCTCAGGACCTAAACAGGGCGGCCTGCAGGTGGATGTCTGCCTCCTCTTAGACCTCCAAAGAATTCATGACCTGGGCACCTGGGCCAGGTCTAACCCATCACTGGTGAGGCTTATATTTAGGTGACTACATTTTCCTGGAGGGTGAGAGACCTCTGCCTTTCATGTCCAGGAAGCCCCTAGGGCTCCATGGAATTTGTAAGTTTCCAGTATCCACAAAATGAATGTCCCAGGGTTGTGAAAACCCCGCACTGAATCCAGCTTGACCACCCCTGCATTGGCCCCAGGCCCATGGCCACAGCCACCTGGACACAAGGAAGGCCCAGCAGGGTGGCCTGTCCACCACCCGCAGCCAGCAAACACATTCCTGAGGGGCTGTGCTCTGCCTTTCTTGCAGTTTTTTTTTTAAAGCAAGATATATTTTAGATTTTTGTTCCCACGCACTCAAATTCCATTTCTCTTTCACACCAGAAAAGGCTCAAACATGAAACAACAAAAATACTTTGGGCTTCTGTGCCTCAGGGGGTGGGGGGTAGAACAAACATTCACTGAAGGTCCCTGGTTTTGCTCTTAGAACACATAGGTGCTCTGCATTCCGCGGAATGTTGTCAATAATTAAAACTGAGCTGCACCTGTTAAAAATCAAGTAGCATTTTCTCATTAGGCACCCCCAGCCTTCCAGCCCATGTGTAATCACAAATTCAGATTTGCAAAATGCTTACCCATAATAATGAGGTTGGTCCTATTTATTTTGAGACCAGGAGTTCCTGGAGCTCAACTACTCTTTGTCCTGATTTCCTGCGCTGTCTTAAGTGAGGAAAATTAGTTACCTGCCAGGATTCTGCCCACCTCCTTATACCTAAGTTGTAAAGAAATGATTGGAATTTGTCAAGTATAGTTTTCGAGAGCTTCTGGTGGTGAGCATGACCCTGGAAACCATGATTACGGTGGTTCAACCCTTCCTTGCCAACCAGCTAATCACCTAGTGAAATCTTTGGTCTATTCAGTCTTGACAAAAAACTAAGTCAGCCTTCTGATCTCAACAGTCCTGTGAGACAGACCTTGAGCTAGAAGCCCAGTGCAGCTGCCCAGGTCCCGATCCATGGGAACTGTGAAATAGATCTTCTTGTCCAATGCTGTCACATCTTGGGTTAATTTGTTACCCAGCAATAGGTAACTAATACATCCACTGTTCAAGTTCCAAACACACCAAAGAATTTCATATAAAATTCCTGAAGTTTTCCTCATCTACTAAACTCTTAAAGTTCTCTCCTTCCATGCTAAATAATTTGGAGATTCCATCTAAGATACCCTTCCTCCTAGGTCAACCCAGAATCCTTTCCCAATCTCCTCTATCCTGATTCTCCCAAACATCACCTCTCCCTATACATCCATGCACCTCTGACTTCACCCCATAATGTCCTGACTGCCAGCATTTTTTGCCTTCCCCGCTGGAGGAGTAGTCCCCAGGAGCTGGGCGGTGCTTTGTCCAGAGCCTAGGGCAGTGCCTGGCAGAGGGTGCCCCGTTTATCAGCTGAACAGACAACAGAGGCACGATTGGGCATTGTCAGGCAGCGGTAGGGAGAGGGTTGGCAATTTCAGCCTCCAGATTATATTCACTCCGGGCTCTTCCTTGAAGGTGGAGGGCAGGGAGTGTGTCTGCCATCTCGGACACATTCTCTTAATCATCCAAGTCCACCCACTCATCATACAACCCCGCTCATATAGGACACCCACACTTGCACTGCTCAAATTCTGCTCCAGTTTAAGGTTCACTGACTATAAAGCATATTTAGAAAACAGACTCTCAACGTTCGACCCTTCTGTTATTAAACTCCCCTCATACAAGAACAAGGCAAATGGGGATTGTGCTCTCAAGTTCTAGACAAGTCCATTTTTTTTTTAAATCCCAAACTTGAAAATGATCAATTATGATCACTGAGTCAAAAAATACTCCATCTAGTTCCTGTTAACTTTTGACTACTTAAAAAGAAATGAAGGTGAATTAAAGAAACAGAATCTTTGAAAGCTTCATTCTACCTTGTAGCCTCCAATGCGATGTTCCTGCTTAAATTCCTTCCCATTTTTCAGCCACCTCATGGTTGGGGTTGGATTCCCGCCAGCTGGACAGCGGAACTTGACAGTGTTGGCTGCTGGAACAGCGTGCAGCCGCTTTTCCATCTTCTCTGTGTTGGTCCAGTAGGGTGCTCCTGTTTGGGGAAAACAACATTATAATGTAGATGGATGGACAACCTGGTCTCTGTTACTAAACTCCTACAGGTAAGATCATTTTATTTGGTGTGTGGACGATGGGACGATTTCAAAATCTTTGGGTGATGTTTACATTAGGAAAAAATTTTCTGAAGTCTCATCCAGCTGGCCTGGCAGGAGGTCCCTAGAGATGGACTACTTGTTGGCTTAGGCCTATTAACAGGGGAAACAACGCTTGAGGCACCTTCTCTCCCTCATTCTTCGTGCCAGAATATAAATTCATGTTGAATCATGTTTGAAAATGCTACTTGACACACACCGTGACAAGGCCTACAATAACAGCAGCTGAGTCCTCCCCAAACATATCATTTTAGATAGATCGCCATACCTATTAAGCAATCACATATACACACGAGTAAAAGTAAGTTGTATTCAAAAGCCACACAACTTATCAACCAGAGCTTTACTTTAAAGGATAATGGATAGTACAATTTATCGTCGTGATAAGATAAAGTAGTTCAGGGAGGTCATTCCCATTTCTGAGCACTTTATATGACAAATATATTTTAATTTCTAAAGTAGAAAAGAAAGCCTCCCTGGTGGTAGGGGTTATGACTTAGCGCTATCACTGCGACAGCCTGAGTTCGATCCCCAGCCAGGGAGCTGACCCACATGGCACAGCGGACCTCTCCTGTCCTGCCCGCTGCTCCCCTCAGCAGTGTATTTCAGTCACTCTGCCTGTTCTGCTCCCCACTCTGTCTCTGGTGAATCCTCTACCACCCCTGCCCCGTACCTCTGGCCTACACCCCAGTTCTTGTATAAATAAATAAATGTTAAAAAAATAAAGTGGAAAAGAGATCTTTTGGTGGTTGTGAAGGTCATTTTTATCACCCTGTCTAAACGAATTAACACCAACTAGTTACGTAAAACTGTACCTTGTAAACTGACTTCAAAGGCAGAGATACAAGTGGTTTTATAAGCTCAAGGAAAGAGACAGGTTGTTAAATCATCAGGTAAAGGACATCTTATCTAAGTAAAAGCCGGGGCCATCACTCCAAAGCAACATGTAAATTCTTCATGCCTGCTAATAACGGCCGTGACCGCTACTGAGTGCTTCTTATTTGCCCAACACAACTCCAAACACACTTGTGTGTTTAACACAAGCACCGTGACAACAGTCTGATGAGAAAGCACTGTTGGAATCCCTGTTAACAGAGAGGAACACTGGGCCTCCCCAGTGGCACAGCAGTTGAGTGCTGGGTTGCGAAGCTGCCCGCAGCCTCTGCAGCGCAGGTTCGATCCCCGGCCACCGGGTGAGGGTCCCACATGGCGCGCAGACCTCTCCTGCCGCCCTCTGCTCCCCTCAGCAGTGTACTTTGTCAGTCTGCCTGCTCTGCTCTCTGCTCTGACTCTGGTGAATTCTCTCACCCTCCCGCGCTTCTGACTGTACCCAGTGCTTGTATAAATAAATAAATCTTTAAAAAAAATAGAAAAAGAGAGGAATATTGAGCCTTGGTGCAGTGAGGTAATCTGCCCACAGTCATAAAGCCAGGAGTTTCAGGCCAGGAGCCGAGCCCCGGAGGTTGTCTCCGAAGCCCGACTACCTTTGCCCTGCTGCCTGCAGCAAGTAAGAACCAGCTTGTCCACAGGTTTGGAATTCACACCTTGGACCACTCTGATGTTTAATCCCAGGACAGCCAGGCTGCGCCAAAGGCACATGCTGCTCTCATTGCTGCTCAGAAGGTCCACAGAAGTCTTGCACAGCAGTGTTTCACCTGAATGTTTGTCTTAGCCAACAGCTAACCAAACCAGCACTCCCCTAAAGCATCCATTGCCAAGGCCTCAAACAATCCAGAACATTTCAGAACCCTGAAATTCTCGAAGATTGGTTCATACCTATTTCTAATGAGGGTTTGACTGAACAACAGCACACACGTGCCCCTAGCCAAGGGCAAAACAGTCCTAGGCAGGGCTTCACCTCAGATGCAGATTTAAGTCCCCTTTCCTCTAGTCTGTGGATGGCACAGCTTGCTCTCAGGCAGGGGGGGCGGGGGTAGGGTGGAAAGAAAGAAATGATCCCCTTTACTTAACAGCCAGACTTTCATGACAGAATTAGGTATTGGAACAATGGCCCCCAAAGTACCTAACCCTATTTGCCTCATCCATGTTCTTCAAATTTGCAACAAAAGATGGAGCTGGGGGCCTCCCTGGTGGCGCAAGGGGTTAAGATGCAACCTATGAGGCTATCTGCAGCACGAGTTTGATCCCTGGCCAGGGAGCTACCCACATGGTGCAGCAGACCTCTCCTGCCTCGCCCGCTGCTCCCCTCAGCAGTGGATTTCAGTCAATCTGCCTGTTCTGCTCCCCACTCTGTCTCTGGTAAATCCTCTCACCCACCACACCTCTGACCTGTACCCCAGTTCTTGTATGCATAAATAAATCTTTAAAAAAAAAAAAAAAGGCAGCTATGGGATTTTCCTAACCAGGGCATCCTGAAGCTTCTTTATCCTGCTTATCTAAGTATCAAGGAGGTAGGTGTAGATGTTGTCTATAATAAGCCAGGCCAGTGCAAAGAGGCAAAACCGTGGCGGTCAGCAGAGAGAGAGGAAGGCTGGCAGGCGGAGAGGTGGGAGCCAGGAGAAGGAACAGGGCTGTATTCTCTCCTCCTAATCCAGCTGCATAGGCAATGAGTAGGCACTTCGTAGCCATTTGGCGTTGGGTGTCTGATGCCGGTAAACACACCTATTCTTCGGAAGCTTCACCAGGGCGTGCTCGGCTCCTATTTGTCACAAGACTCCCAGGGCCTGGCAGCCACAGAAATCATTTCAATAACCTTCACTTGAAAAGCTTCTACTTAGTAAAAATCCATCCACAGCCATCGCCTCTCAAAAGAAACCATCAGGAGCACAAAATAAATAATGAGCTTTGTCGCTACACAAAGACTTTTACAAATCTGACCTAAATGAAGAGCGCACCTCGTGCGGTCAGGTGTCCGGACACATGTCATTTGTTTAAGTCAACACAATAGCCTATTCACGTGAATTAGCTAAATATTAATGTAGCAACTCGGCATCAATGACGGCGGAGCTGATCCTCTGGAATGCCTTTTCCCTATTCATACAAAGAAATCAGCAGATGGGTGCTTACATACCGGTGGGCACGATGCTTTTGTTCCCTAAAATGTCAAAAAGTAGGACTTCACTTAAGGAGCTAAGAAAGTCGCTCCGTCCTGCTCTCACCAGGCGAAGCTGTCAGGGAGGAGGCTGCCCCCAGCACCAGGCTCGCCCTGGACCACACGGCCCTCTTGATCCTGCCTGTGGCAACAGCGTGCTGGCAACCAGCACCTTTGTCTTGGCGCCCAGGGACTGATTTAAGGACAAGGGTGAAAGAATTTCGCTGGAATGTCTGGCAGGTAGCCAGTTCCCTGGGGTGCAATTTCAATCATCAAAACTGCACCTATAAAATCTGCTGGTGTAAAAGCAGACACACAGCCAGGCAGCGGGGTGTGGGCACCAGACTTCTTATCTAAGCCTCCCAGGGCTAAGGCGGGTGGGGCTGCGTAAAATCTAATGGACAAAGGAGAAACAGATCACCTGCCAGCTGTCACCGCGACCTGCATTCACAACTGACTCAGCTGGGGCTCAACATGAAGTCATGTTGTTGGAGGTTCCCTGTATGGCAGGGAAAGGTGCCCCCCACCTCCCACCACCACCACTCCGTGAGTGTTAACATCACACAGGCACGAGGTACTTCTGGGACTAGGCCTTCCTTGAGGTTGTCAAGCTCCCACATCTTTTTCAAGAGCATGATGCTTAAGGAAAGGAGATTATTTTATTATTTTGCAATGGCTCTTCCTGAAATTAGTTCCACACAAAGTTTGAAGAAGCCGGATGATTGAGAGAAATAACTGCTGCAGGACCAGCCCTGCTGTGTTTCCTTCAGCAGCAGCGTCATGCCCTCCGTAAACTCTGTCTTCCACAGCTCCTGCCTTTTCTGCAGCCTGGCCCCATGGGAAGATCGGGGTACTCCAGAGCTGCCTGCAAGGGTGGGGCAGCGGGCACCCAGTGCCTCGACCTCAGGGGCTGTCCTTCATACAGTGACCACTTTCACAAACTAATGCTCTACAAAGTGGGGGTGAGCCTTGCACCCGTGGGTACTCAGCAACTCTATTTACAGTGAATCTGCAAGCCCAGGCCACATGACGGGTAAGCATATGCTTGTGTGTCCCTTCCCTGGCATCACACTGGGGAAATATGAGGATTGGGTTTAAAGCCATTAGCCAACAGAGCAAGGGTGTGGTATAAACTACTGGTGGCATAAAAAATGAGTTATGCTGGGCCTCTCTGGTGATGTAAGGGTTAAAGTCTCAGCACACTGGGGCTCCCTGGTGGTGCAAGGGGTTGAGCACAGCACTATGAAGCTGTCCTCAGTCTCTGCAGCAAGAGTTCCATCCCCAGCCAGCCAGGGAGCACCTCATGGCGCAGCAGATCTCTCCTGTCTCGCCCACTGCTCCCCTCAGCAGTGTGTTTCAGTAGATCTGCCTATTCTGCTCCCCACTCTGTCTCTGGTGAGTCCTCTCACCCTCTGCGCCTCTGGCCTACACCCCAATTCTTGTATGCATAAATAAATAAAAATAAATCTTGTAAAAAAAATGAGTTATGCTAAATCAAGAGTCAACACGGGGGTTCCTGCTGCTCTGACATGCTTGGCTCGCCTGATGCTCCAGCCAGCCATGTTCCCACATCATTAGAGGCTAATAATGAACAGGTGAAAGGAACAGTAAGCCCAAGCCAAAATAAACAAATTACATAAAACCCCATCATCAAGGTCCAGTGTACCTAACGCACTGTCACCTCCTACACTGAAACAGTTGTTGCATATTAGGGATAATGGTAAGTAATTTTAATTTTACTTAGAAGCAGCAGAAGTTTCTCAAGATGTGGCTGCTAAGGGAAACTTTCCTCCAAGTTCCCTCAACACAGCCTTTCTCTTCCAGCTC